TTGTCTCTGGGAAGTAAGTAGCTTTGAGAATTTTGGCACTCAAAGATGAGGGGTCCATAAAGATTCTCCATGCCTGTCTTGCCAATAAAGCTAGGTTGAAAAGCTCAAGATCTCTGAACCCGAGTCCTCCCAGGTGCTTAGGTCTTGTCATAACATCCCATGAAACCCAAGTCGGCTTTCTCTCACCTTGCTTGCACCCCCACCAGAACTTCCTGATAATTGATTTTATATGATCACATAGTCCTCTCGGAAGCTTAAAACAAGACATAGAGTATACCGGAATTGCTTGAGCAACCGATTTAATTAGGACCTCCTTTCCTCCTGCAGACAGACATTTGCTCATCCAACCTTTAACTTTATCCCATACACGTTCACTCAAGTACTTGAAAGTTCCATTCTTCGAAAGTCCCACATCTGTGGGCATCCCCAAGTACCTGTCACTGAGAGATTTATTAGGGACATGGAGAAACCCCTTCACTGCATCCCGGACTATACCCGGAGTACCTTTGCTAAAAAAGATTGAAGATTTGTCTCGGTTTATTCTCTGCCCAGAAGCCATGCAATATGAATCCAATAGGTTTGACACCTCCTCCGCTCCATTAATACTTGCCCTGAAAAACAGCAGGCTGTCATCCGCGAATAAAAGATGGTTCACCGGCGGAGCCGATGGTGCCACCTTAATGCCGCTGAGCTGGGATGACTGATTTTGTGATTTCAAAAGGCACGAAAGGCCCTCTGCTGCCAACAAGAAAAGATATGGAGAGATGGGATCTCCCTGTCGAATGCCACGAGTAGGTTTGAATTCCTCTGACTTTCTTCCATTAAACATAACCGAGAAGGAAACTGAGCTCACCATATTCATGATGACTGTGATCCACTGCGGAGCAAAACCTAACTTCTCCATGATGGACCGGAGGTAGTTCCACTCCACCCTGTCATATGCCTTCATCATGTCAAGCTTGAGTGCACAAAAACTGTTATTTTTTGATCGATTTCTCTTCATAAAGTGCAAACACTCATAAGCAGAGATAATATTGTCTGTGATAAGCCGTCCTGGTACAAACGCCGACTGCTCCTCTGAAATGATCTCCGGCAGAATACTCTTGAGGCGGTTTGCAAGTACTTTCGAGGCTATCTTATAAAAAACATTACAAAGGCTAATTGGGCGAAATTGAGCCAGTAAAGTTGGGTTTGATACCTTGGGGATTAAAACTAGCAGAGTATCATTAACACATGCCGGGCTCTCCTCGCCACGAACAATGCCAAGCACGGCCCTAGTGACCGCTTCCCCACAGGCATCCCAGTGCCTCTGAAAGAAATGTGCCGGGAAACCGTCCGGACCCGGTGCCTTTGTCGGAAACATCTGGAACAACGCCACTTTCACCTCCCTCTCATCATATGGTGCCAATAGGACTGAGTTCATGGCTGGTGTCACCTTCGTCGGTACATGCTCCAAGACCTCGGCAACCCCCTGCACTCCTTCAGATGTATATAGATTCTTATAAAAGTCCAGCGCCATTTGTTGCATTTCGGTCATGTCCTCAGTTAGCTACCCGTCGGCCCGTTGCAGGGCCTTAATAAGGTTTTTTCTCCGCCTCATCGAAGCTCTCATGTGAAAAAAGTGAGTGTTCCGGTCACCAGCGGATAGCCATTCCACCCGAGAGCGCTGCCTCCACATAAGTTCTTCACGTAAATATAATTCAATGAGTCTATCATTAATCTTTATCTCTGCATGCGATGGGCCGACCCTAGGCAGTGCACTTCGCAGCCGATCAAGTTCCTTTTTTAACCTTTGGATCTCTCCACGAACGCTTCCAAAAGTGGACTTGGACCAATCACCCAGGTTATTTGCTAAAGCATCTAGCTTTGTCCGGACTCCACTTGCTGTGAGATGATGGCCCTCGGCCTCCCAGACTGATTGAACATTAGACTTCATCTCATCATGGTTATCCCACATGACCTCGTACTGGAATCGCTTCTTCTCTTTAGCATTTAACTCCCGCGGCACTAGCTCTACTAGTATCGGTGAGTGATCCGAGGTAGCTGCAGAAAGATGTTCTACCGCTGTGTTAGGGAACTGGGCACTCCAGCTCGCCGTTGCCAGGGCTCGGTCAAGCCGGACTCGCGTGTAAGACCCTCCTGCAACTTTCTTTTCATATGTCCACATCCTGCCTGTAAAGCCCAGATCAAGGAGTCCACAGTCATCTACTGCTTCCCTAAAGCCCTGAATCTGGGACTGACTTCTCGTGCCAATCCCGTCATGTTCGTCACGCCGCAACACTTCGTTAAAATCACCTATACATATCCACGGTATGTCAAGTAGTGCAGCCAGATTCCTCATTGTGTCCCAAGTGTTGTGTCGCAGATGTGTTTGGGCCTCCCCGTAGAAACATGAAAGTCTCCATGGATCGCCTCCAAGCATACTAATTTTAGCATCTATGTGATACCTGGAGTAACCCAAAATCTCGATATTTATTTCATCATTCCAGTACATAGCCAAACCTCCACTCCTACCAGAAGAATTAACAGCAAAAGAATTATCATAACCTAGAGTATTCTTAAGATTTTCTGCTCTCTCTCCACTAATTTGGGTTTCGACAATGCATAAAACTCTAGGGGCAAACTTTTTAGCGATTTCGCGTAGCTCTTGAACTGTCGGGGCGTTGCCTATCCCGCGACAGTTCCAGCTTATGAGACTCATTGCGCCCGGCGGTCCTCCCCGGGGGAGGCCGCCACACGCGCATCACTGTTTATTTTACCTCCAAAAGCCTTCTTTCCTGCTTCTCCCTTGTTCTTTTCCGCTTGTTGCACAGTTTTTGATCTCTTGGGGTCCTTCTTCGACGGTGGGCTAAGGGGAACCACCGTCGCTGCTGCACCTCCTTTAGCCAGGGGAACTAGTTCCATACCGGTCACACCCGCCGGACTTTGAGCTAACACCGCATCTGCAGGTCGCTTGCGGTTTGATTCTGCTTCATCCACAACTATGTCCTCAGCCTCAGTTTCCCGGGACTGCACACCCCCACTAGCTGGGATGTCTGTATTCCTCTGCTGTTGCTGCTGCTTATTGTTTCTTCTCCTAGTAGCCCAACTGGTGGTGGACGGAGCACGGAGATTCTTATACACCAACGCTGATGGCGGGTGCACCCCGTCCCCGTGTTCTTTGAACCGGTGGCCCATCATCCCACAAACTTGGCACCAATCAGGCAGTCTCTCATAGCTTACCGCGAAGATTTCTCGCTCACCTCCACGGATGAGAGAAATAGCCTTCTTCAGAGAATTGCGCACGTCCAATCTAACTCTAACCCTGAAGAAATTACCCTCAAAGTCAAAGGAAGAGGGTTCAGCATCGACGAACTCGCCAATTTTTGATGCTAGCGCCTTCACCTTCCCATGATAAGCCGGGGGCAAGTCAATGATGCGTGCCCAGATCTCAAACTTGAATAACTCGATGGTGGAGGGCTTTGTGAAACCATCATATGGGACTATGATCACTGGGTTTCCCTTGAAGTGCCACAGGCCTCCCTGCGTCACCGTTTCCCAATCTCCAAGACACCCAAATTGCATGATGAACAAATTCTCCTCTAGGGTTTTGATCTGGACCGGCCTAGCCAGATCCCATGCCGCACGCATGGTGCGAAAGAACCAGTAGTTACTAAAAGATTTATCCATGTGTACCCTAGCCAAGGTCATCCAGCGGAGATTCTCTTCTACCGGTGCATCGTCATCCTCAAAAACCACATCATCCAAATCATCCTCTTCGAGGGCTAATTCCTTCATCATGTCCTCCAGCTTTCCCTTCCCCTTACTGCAGCTGCCTGACGCCGCAGATTCGCCTGAGCTCGTCATTGATCCCTCGGATCAGATCGGATCAAGAAAACCCTACCTCTGTCTATCACCTAGACTCCCACCAAGGCCGGGAAGCAACCCCGAGGTCGCCCCTTGTTCAGCCCGAGAGGAGGACTAGATTTCAGCGGAGGAGGTAACGGAGATCTCTACGTCGTCGCCGGCGACGAGAGGAAGTCAAAACCCTAACACGAGGGGATAGATGAGGAAGTCGAGCGTTTGCTTTTGTTGATTTTTTTTACTGCGCGCTACCGCAAATGGGCCGGCCCATGTCATCTATCCCCTGTGTGAATCAAGGACTGTTTGCCGCGATAAGCGGCGACTAGTTATAAATAATTTCTATTTCTCAAAAAAAGTTATAAATAATTTCTCGTGTTGAGAATTAAGCAAGCCTTGGAGTTCTCCGACCGGGCCCGCCTATTCGAGCCCAACTTCCTGCAGATATTTTATCCACATGGCGGGAGGCTTTTCTTCCTCGGCGAACCCAATCCAAAACTCCACTCCACTCTTTTTCCTCTATCCGCCCGCCTCCCCGCGCCATGGCGCCGCTCCCCGCGCCCACCGCCGCCTCCGCCTTCCTCTTCCACGCCCCGCCGCGCGGCCACCACCACCACCACAAGCCTAAGCCCTCCTCCAGACCCACCACCACCCTCTGCTCCGCCGCGCCCTCCTCCACGCCGTCCCTCGCCGACCAGCTGGAGCCGCTCTCGCGCACGCTGCTCACCGACAAGCCCACCCCCGCCGCCGACCGCGCGCAGCGCCCCACCCCGGAGCCCACCTGGGTCAACCCCTCCAGGCCGCGCCCCACGGTGCTCTCCCTCCGCCGCCAGCGCCGCCGCCCGGCCGCCTCCCACCCCTCCTCGGCCCCGCTCCAGCCGCTGCTCCGCGACCTGCGCGCGCTCCCGGAGGACGCCGACCTGGCGCCCACCCTCAGCGCCTTCTTCCCGCTCCCGGGCTCCCCGCCCACCTCCTCCGACGCGCTGCTCCTCCTCAACTACCTCCACCCGTCCTGGCGCAAGACGCTCTCCCTCTTCGCCTACCTCCGGGGCCTCCCCGCCGACGCCGGCTTCACCGTCGACACCATCCTCTTCAACGTCGCCCTCAAGTCGCTCCGCGCCGCGCGCCGCTGGGACGAGGCGGAGCGGCTGGCGCTCGACATGGTCGACTCCGGCGTCCCGCTCGACAACATCACCTACTCCACCCTCATCACCGCCGCCCGCCGCTGCCGCCAGTTCGCCAAGGCCGTCGAGTGGTTCGAGCGCATGTACTCCCCGCCCAGCGGCGTGCTCCCCGACGAGGTCACCTACTCCGCCGTCCTCGACGTCTACGCGCAGCTCCGCATGAAGGAGGAGGTGCTGGCGCTCTTCGACCGCGCCCGCGGCAGCGGCTGGAAGCCCGACCACGTCGCCTTCGCCGTGCTCGCCAAGATGTTCGGCGAGGCCGGCGACTATGACGGCATCCAGTTCGTCTTCAAGGAGATGCGGGAGGTGGGCATCAAGCCCAACATCTTCGTCTACAACGCGCTGCTCGAGGCGCTCGGCAAGACCGGCAAGCCGGGCCTTGCCCGCAACCTGTTCGAGGAAATGGCCGCCGAGGGCGTCGAGCCCAACGCGCGCACGCTCACCGCGGTGGCCAAGATCTACGGCCGGGCGCGCTGGGGCCGCGACGCGCTCCAGCTCTGGGACCAGATGCGCGACAAGAAGATCCCCGCCGACAGCATCCTCTGCAACACGCTGCTCAGCATGTGCGCCGACGTGGGGCTGGTGGCCGAGGCCGAGCAGCTCTTCGAGGAGATGAAGGACCCGGACCTCACCGACGTCCCCCAGCCGGACAAGTGGAGCTACACGGCCATGATCAACATCTACGGGAGCATCAAGGACGCCGACCGCGCGCTCCAGCTGTTTGTGGAAATGCTCCAGAGCGGCATAGAGGCCAACATCATGAGCTACACCATCGTGATCCAGTGCCTCGGCAAGGCGAACAGGATACGGGACGCCGTGGAGGTGCTCGAGGCGGGGCTGGAGAGGGGCCTCAAGCCCGATGACCGGCTATGCGGGTGCCTGCTCTCCGTCGTCGCGCTAAGCAGCGGCGAGGAGACGGAGCTGGTGCTCGGATGCCTCGAAAAGTTCAACGGAAACCTAGTCAAGCTGATCAGGATGCTCGGGGACGACCAGGTGGGCGCCGACGAGCTCAAGGAGCAGCTGAAGGCCGTGCTGAATGCCGCGGAGACCGAGGTGCGCCGGCCCTACTGCAACTGCCTGATCGACATATGCCAGAACCATGGCCTCCCCGCCCGGAGGCCGAGGGAGCTCTTCCGGCTCGCCCAGGGCTACGGCCTCTACTCCAAGCTCCACATCAGGAAGGATGACGAGTGGCTGCTAGACCTGCGGTCGCTCTCGGTTGGCGCTGCTAAGACGGCGTTCGACGACTGGATGGTGGCCCTCTCGGAGCGCGCTGCGCAGGGCCAGACCCTGCCACAGTCCTTCAACGTGTTCACCGGTTCCAGCACCCACAAGTTCGCGCAGGGGCTGGCCAGCGCCTTCGCCGCCCACCTCAAGGAGGCCGCGGCGCCGTTCCGCCCGAGCGAGTCCCAGGTCGGCAGCTTCGTCAGCTCCAGGGACGAGCTAGTCCCGTGGCTGCAGACGAGCAGCCCGTCGTCTCCGGTCGTCGCGGGATGATTGATGGCTGAACATTGCCGCGATGGGTTTTGATGCTAGGTTGTGTTTGCTTGCCAACCTGCTTCAGCACCTTTTTTTTTTTTTTAGGGTTGCTTCAGTATCTGTTGGCACTGAGAGCTGGTGTGTTGCCCTCTTGAGGCTTTGATGTTGGGAGCACAATCGCGGGATGATTGGTGGACTGCTTGTGTTGATCTGGTCACTGATATCTGTCAGCGTTCATCGCAAACAGCAGATTGTGTTTGTTAGTTATGGGGAAATTGTGGGTTCTGTAAAACTAGGGGTGAAAGCAGATTGTGTTTTCATGCTGCTTCAGTATACCTGTTGACACTGCTCAGCTGGTCTGTTGCCCTGTGTTGCAGAGTGAAGCAAAGGCGGGTCATTTGGTGCCCATTGCTGCCTGCTGCCGCGCTGATAATGGGAGAGGAGCGGTGATTAACTTTTTTGTGGGTGATGTTGTAGTATTACTAAAATCAGCGACAATTAATATGGATAAGAGGGAGTATATGATTTTTCCAGCAATTTGTTTCTATGGAAAACATCAAATCATATATATTTTTCCTAGTCAGGAAGAAAATCATGATTTTTTTTTTTGAACGTAGGAAGAAAAGCATGATGGATCTCTTGGCAAGGTTATTGTGTGGCTGATTCTTCCATAGCTTGCAGAGTTGCTGGCCGAAAATGGTGGCCATTACACGGTGCTTTGTCTTCTTGTGTCAAGTTTCTGCTTAAACCATCCCCGGGAAAGAAAAGAAAAGAAAACAGCAAAAGGAAAAGAAAAAAAAACAATTGTATGGGCTCGGCCTCATACTCACAAATGGGCTGGGCCTTGTTCCCCATGTGTCGGGAGTCCATCACAAACAAAGTCCCCCTCAAAAAAAAAAATCACAAACAAAGTCGAGGCCTCCGCATCTTCTTCCTCTGCCCCACACACGCGCGACAGACAGAAATCGGAGGGGATCGCCGAGCCGAGCGGAGGCCGGAGAGGGAGAAGGAAGATGATACTCGCCGTGCTCTTCGCCAACTCCGAGGGCAACATCCTCATCGAGAGGTATGTAGGTGACCCGCCCGCCCCTTTCTCACCTGCGGCGGCTCCGCCCCGAGATCTCGCCTCGCCTCGCCTCGCGGATGAGATCTGCCACTTGAGCGCCTCGAGTCCACCTCACGAATCTCGATTTCTTTTTCCTTCTTTCGCTCTGTGCTGGATCTATCTACCTGCAGGTTCCATGGCGTCCCCGCGGAGGAGCGGCTGCACTGGCGCTCCTTCCTCGTCAAGCTCGGCGCCGAGAACCTCAAGGGCGCCAAGTCCGAGGAGCTCCTCGTCGCCTCCCACAAGTACGCAATCACCGCTCCACTCCCCTCTCCTCTTTCAGTAACCAATCGCCGCTAGATGCACCCATCGACTGGGATGGGAGGAATCCAATTTGACGCTTCATTTCGGTGCTACTACCACACGCACCAAATCTCAACTGCATTCTCATGCCAATTTAGGACTGCCCGGCTGAGCGAGCGAGTGGTGGAAACAGTATAGAGTTCCCACGCTAATTAAGCTGCTTTCTTAACTAAAACGAAGCCTGCTTCTTCGTCTCCATCTCCACAACACATGAATGTGCCCACGTTACCAGTGCACTGATCCTTACTGTTTTGTTGGTCTTAGTTACCTTTCAACAATGATGATGAAAAGCCATTGACGCTTCGTTTCATTGCTACTTTTACTTGCTGCTACTACAGTACACACATGCTCCACAACAAATGCAGATGCATTTTCATGCAGCCCATTTAGGGCTAGTAGGTGCCGATTGCTTGGTGGAAACAGTTTAGAGTGCCCATTAACGCCGATAAGCTAATTTAACTAGATTTTAAAAACAGAGTTCCGGTCGTGTTATACACTTTTAATTCCTATTTGATTAATTGCGGCGCTGGTTCGGAAAGCCTGCATACACTCTTTAGTTAACCAAAACGTTGTTGATTTTTTTTAAACAACTGACTGGTCGACAGTTCCAAGGAGGGACAACCATACAAGTGTTATAGTTTACCCTGATTACAATACACAAGAAAAAAATTATGTGACTATCCATTTTCTTACTGAAAAAAGGCTCTTCACTGTTCATAAGTATTCAGGCCTATTGTCATTTGATGAATGATGTGTGAATATTGTTCACGTCGTTGGTACTGGATCAGTTTCTAACTACCATATTGCTGTACACCTGTATCTGTATGTTGGCTCCACTAGTTTTTGCCCAATGGCAGATGTGCCGTTTCATGACTTGTTATTCTTATTCAAGTGGGCGAACTAGGTCATTTTTATTCAGTTTGCTTCCTGCTATTTCCAAAGCCAGCATACTAAGTCATTTTTATTCAGTTTGCTTCCTGCTATTTCCAAAGCCAGCATACTAAGTCATTTTTATTCAGTTTGCTTCCTGCTATTTCCAAAGCCAGCATACTAAGTCATTTTTATTCAGTTTGCTTCCTGCTATTTCCAAAGCCAGCATACTAAGTCATTTTTATTCAGTTTGCTTTCTGCTATGCCAAAGCCAGCATACTAAGTCAATTTTATTCTGTTTGCTTTCTGCTATGCTAAAGCCAGCATTGTGAGCATCACTACACACATTTCTCCAGAATTCCAAATAGATCGCAGACATCCTTCTTTTCTTTTTTAGAAAAATAGGAGCCCGCAGGCCCCCAGTTTCACTGAGTGCAACAAAACTGAGTTTTTTTTATATAGGTTCACTTTGTTCAGGAGTACCAGAGTAGCTACCCAGAATGAGGCACTTAACAGCAGTACATCCCAGTGAAACAGCAGAATGAATCAGAGAATTGTCCACCGGGAAGGTCAGACCTAAGCAACCTTGAGTAGTTTTCCCCGGCGACGATCCAGCAGTAGTAGACAGCCCAACTCAGCATGGACTGAGAATTGTCCATCAGTACCTTCTGTTGCTTAGCCACCGCGTGGATCTTGTTCCAGAGACATCGAATGCTTACCTATTTGCGGCCCACAGGAAAACTCATTATGTAAACTCCATATATACACCATAGTCCAGCTGCATAAAAACATTTGCAAGCATAGGCTCGTTTTCCATTCAGCCACCAATCAATCAGTTCAGAGATAGATACAGGTGTTAGTCCACCATTATAGACATTCTTGATTTGTTATTTGGGGACAGGATTTGTATTATTCGCTGTTGATAGCCCAATAAATTGCAACGATTCTTTATGAAAACTAACCTATAGACGTCCATACAATTAACCATATGCTAGAGGATTTGAGCTGCTACAACATATGCATCTTCACCTCCAGTCCCATGGTTGCCATGATTTGAATCGGAACCAAGCATGTGCATTTTTTAACTCCTCATCCATAAATATCTGATGTGCTGACGCTCTCCCAGGTCGGTCTCCATTGTGTATACCATGATCGGGGACGTCTGCCTGTACATTGTTGGCAAGGATGAATATGATGAGCTTGCTTGTGAGTATTGAGTTTCAGACATTTCTCCTGCTAAGCGTCCTGTTTCAAACCTTCATTATCACTTTGGCCTTATGTTTGTTACTAATATATAATGTCTGTACGTTTTGTAGTGTCGGAGGTGATCTTCGCTGTTACGTCGGCGGTTAAGGATGTGTGTGCGAAACCACCTACCGAGCGCCTCTTCCTCGACAAGTATGGGAGGATCTGCTTGTGCCTTGATGAGATCGTTTGGCAGGTAAGCTTCGATCTAATTTCCGTGCCATGTACTTAGCTCCGTTCCGGTACTGGTCTACCAAAACGCCATATATTTTGGAACGGAGGTAGTAGCAGTTAAACATGCCTTCACCCAATCGCCAGGGATTGACTTATTTGGTACTCCAATACAAACTGGCCAACCTATTGCTGTCGGAGCGATAACAGCATCCGTCTGTAGCTGGCCGTTGTGGATTCCTTCGTTCTTTGAGCTGCTGTTGATGTGGTGTTGTTGTTATGGATGATGCATGCGTGCAGGGGTTGCTGGAGAACACGGAGAAGGACAGGGTTCGGAGGCTGATCAGGCTGAAGCCCCCCGTGGAGCCATGATTTTTGCAGTTGAGAGATGGATCCTTGCTGTGTATGTATCGCTTTGTTAGAGCCTTGATGATAACTCACCAACACTGGGCACTTGTGTGATTCTTCTGTCCTGCCTGTACTGTGTACAACAATTTCTTTGATGGAAATGTGATTTGGTCAGATGGTTTCAGTTTCATGGCATGTGATTTGTAATAACCAAGTACAAATTCTCATCAGTTCATTGTCCTGCTCATGCACATGAAAAAAATGTTTGCATGAAATAAAAAGCCTTCACACACACACAAACACGAGTGTACAGTTAAATAAACTGCAACAGTTTTTTTGTCTGAAGTCAAACTTTGTACTTTATAAAAAAATATCAACATTCACACAAGTAGATGTGTCATGAATTTACTTTTTATATTGTATACTCCCTCCGTTTGAAATTACTTATCACAAAAATTGATAAAAATGGATGTATCTACAATTAAAATACATCTAGATACATTCATTTCTTGGATGAGTAATTCTGAACGGAGAGAGTATAACTTTAGTACTTGTAGGTGTTGGCACTTTTTTTTATATAAATATGGTTAAATTTTAAAAAGTTTGACTGCAGATAATTCTTATATGTAAGAAATGTAGAGTTAAAAAGGAGCAGCGGGAGAGCCACAAAAACAATATTTCCTTCCACAAGGTGAGAGAGCCACCACCTCACCTGCCAGGTGGGACCCGCCCACCGCATCGAGAGCTCTCCGCTCGGTCCCTCCAGAAGGACCTTTCCTCCCTTCCACGTGTCAACACCAGAGATGACGTGTCATCAAGTCAAGCTCCCACCCGTCCATCCCGTGGATGCATGCGCCGAGCGGCAGAGCACACTTTTCTGTAGCCACCTCGCTTCTCATCTTCATCTTTCAGGCCGCTTGGTCAGAGTAGGTGTGTGAGCCGAGAGAGGAAGAGACCTGCCGGCCGGAGACGGAGACGATGGATCTGGTGAACGGCGCGCTCAACTGGGCGGCGATGCCCGCCATGGTCGCCGCCCTCCTGCTCTTCTACCCGCCATACTACCTCTTCAAGCTCTGCTACTCCTTCCTCTCCTACCTCTTCCCCGACGACCTCAAGCGCAAGGTCGTCCTCATCACCGGCGCCTCCTCCGGCATCGGCGAGGTCACTAGTCAACATCTTCCTCCTCTGCTTCTTCTTCTTCTTCTTCTTGTTACTGAACCAACCAGATGCTTTTGCTCCAACTTTGCTCTGCTTCTTTCTTATGCTGCTCTGCTCTTCATGTTAATTGTTAACTCCAAACAACTTAATTAGGATCTTCTCTTGTGCATGCAGCAACTGGCCTACCAGTACGCCGCCAAGGGGGCATGCCTCGCCCTGGTCGCCAGGAAGGAATGGAGCCTCCGGCAGGTCGCCGACCGCGCCTTCGACCTCGGTGCGCCGGACGTCATCATTCTCCCCGGCGACGTCGCAGACCCCGACGACTGCAACAGATTCGTTCAGGCCACAGTCGACCACTACGGACGATGTAAGTCGCTTCCTGTTACAGCCAACTTGGTTTAACATATTTATTTGGGTATCTACTTGACATCATCAATCTACACTTGTGCTGATCAATTTAATTTAATTGCAGTGGACCATCTTGTGTGCAACGCTGGCATTGCGAGCGTGGGCGCCTTTCAGGAGATCCCCGATGTCACTAACTACAGCTCGCAGCTTGTAAGTGACACAGCATGACTCTTCATTATGCCTTGATTCTACCTGTCAAGGCACCCACGAGTGTCAAAAGTAACATTTTGTTACCAGGATGTCAACTTCTGGGGCGCAGTTCAGTCCACTTCTGCTGCCCTGCCCCATCTTAAAAGGACCCGAGGGAGGATCGTGGTCACCGCCTCCGCGACCGGATGGAACCCCGTTCCGCGCATGATTTTCTATAATGTAATAACTAACTTGGTTCATTTCATCATTTATAAATGAAGGAACCGGTTATGATAGTCGATAGTAGTACTGATGTTTGTTCTCTTTCTGTTTTAGGCCGCCAATGCCGCACTGATAAACTTCTTCGAGACGCTGCGGTCGGAGCTTGGCAGTGAAGTTGGCATCACAATAGTGACGCCCGGGTGGATCGAGTCCGAGATGTCCAAAGGCAAGTTTCTCAAGGAGCACGGCGGCGTGGAGGTTGATCAAGAATATCGAGATGTGAGGACACTTGCTACCGTTCACACTTTTCTACGTTTTGCCTAAATTTCTGTTACAACAATCAAACATGTTTTAACATAAAAATCAAGTGATTGTGATCATCTGCCATCCGGAGTTATGGGCGCAAGAAGATATGGAAAATAGTTATCAAATTAAGTTGCCATGTAATACTTGCACCAAGTTGAATGGCATCTATATATTATCTGACCATGTGGCCCTTGCTTATTTCCTAGGCTCAAATCGGTCTCTTCCCGGTGGAGTACGCGAAGAACTGCGCGAGGGCCATGGTGCAGGCAGCTCGCCAAGGTGACCGTTACCTCACCGTGCCGTCATGGTTCGGAACAATGTACCTGTGGAGGGTGTTTGCGCCGGAGGTCGTCGAGTTCTGCTACCGCCTCCTGTACATGCACCGCCATGGCGGTGGCGACCAGACCGATGCGCCGAGCAAGACGATGGCCCAGGGTGGCGGGAAGCAGATGCTGTACCCCTCCTCGCTGCGCTCTTCGGACGTCAAAAGCGACTAGAAACTAAGCTTTAGGTGTGGATGCTAAGCTTTAGTAGTTTGTAATCCCGAATAAGCTGTGTTGTGTGTTTGTAATATTAGTTCTGTGTTTGAGACTGCGTGTCGATCGACTCGTTGGTGTCTTGAATAATGCTTTGCACTGGTCATAATCTGAAAATTTCATTAAAAAATAGTAAATTTTCCTGCAATGTCCTGCAATGACAGTGTATTGTTTCTTCAGATAATGCATTTCTATGAATTTTTCAGAATTTATGAAATTTTTCAGATTATGAACACAGTGCGCAGTGCCCTTTTTAATGCGTTTTCCATACTTTTTGATGCTTCTTTTGCAGACAACGTATTTTTTCGGATGATTTCAGATTATGAACAGTGCACCCGAATTTTATACCTTCTCAGATTTTCTGATTTTTTCTATAGAAAATGAAAATTTTCATATTTACAAACAGTGTTTTATGAACAGTACACGCACAGTTGGCAGCAACTGCGTTCAACACCGCTTGACTGAGTCAAAACCTATTAGAACCCAAGTGAGACCCCAAGTGAGGGCTAATTTAAACGGATTTGAGAGTTGAGGGTTGTGTTTTGACCGGCATTGAAGTTCAAGGTTGTAAATTAAAATAGAGCATGGATTCAAGGATGAAATATGCACATCTCTCTTAAGTTTTAGCACGGATGAACGTAAACTAGCCATCTGCATATCTGAAAATCCACCGATAACAAGGAGAAGCAGGTCACTAAAATTATCATCAAAACGTTTGATTTACCTCAACGTCTGGGATTTATTATTTCCGAAAAGCAAATGTTCCTTTAAAGTTAGATAGCCATTTTGGCACTGATGTTATTTCATTGGTACTGAGATAAGCTCTCATAACTATTTTGGCACCAAACCTCTCTAGAAATTTAGATACAGCAATCACGCACTAGTGTGGTTAATGAAAATTGTCATTGTCTAAACAACAGCAACAAAGCTAGTCCTAAACAAGTTGAAGTAGGCTAGATGTGAAACTCATAAGATCTCGCGACCAACTCATGGTTTGGGCACATGGATAGCAAGCTTCCACGCACCTCTGTCCATAACTAGTTCTTTGGTGATACTCTAATCCTTCAGATCTCTCTTTACGGACTCCTGCCACGTCAAATTCGGTCTACCCCGACCTCCCTCGACATTTTCCGTACGCTTTAGCCATCCGCTATGCACTGGAGTTTTTGGAGGCCTGCGCTGAATATGCCCAAACCATCTCAAACGATGTCGAACAAGCTTCTCTTCAATTGGTGCTACCCCAACTTGATCTCGTATATCATCATTCCGGACTCGACCCTTCCTCATGTGACCACACATCCATCTCAACATACACATCTCCACCACACCTAACTGTTGAACATGTCGCCTTTTAGTCGGTCAACACTCAGCGCCATACAACATTGTGAGTCAAACCGTCGTCCTGTAGAACTTTATCTTTTAGTTTTTTTGGCACTCTCTTGTCACAGAGAATGCCAGAAGCTTGACGCCCCTTCATCCATCCGGCTTTGATTCGATGGTTCACATCTTCATCAATACCCCCATCCTTCTGCAGCATTGACCCTAAATATCAAAAAGTGTCCTTCTAAGGCACCACATGCCCATCAAGGTTAACCTCCTCCTCGTGCCTAGTAGTACTGAAACCGCACATCATGTATTCGTTTTTAGTTCTACTAAGCCTAAACTCTTTCGATTCCAATGCTTGTCTCCATAACTCTAACTTCCTATTAACCCCCGTCTGACTATCGTCAACTAGCACCACATCAAGCATACACCAGGGATATCTCCTTATATATCCCTTGTGACCTCATCCATCACCAAGGAAAAAAGATAAGGGCTTAATGCTGACCCCTGGTGCAGTCCTATTTTAATCGGGAACACATGTCACAATATTATCGTACATGTCCTTGATGAGGGTAATGTACTTTGCTGGGACTTTGTGTTTTTTCGAGGCCTACCACATGACATTTCGCGGTATCTTCTCATAGGCCTTCTCCAAGTCAATGAACACCATATGCAAGTCCTTCTTTTGCTCCATGTATCTCTTCATAAGTTGTCGTACCGAGAAAATGGCTTCCATGGTCGACCTCCCAGGCATGAAACCAAACAGATTTTTGGTCACGCTTGTCATTCTTCTTAAGCGGTGCTCAATGACTCTCTCACATAGCTTCATTGTATAACTCATTAGCTTAATTATACGGTAATTAGTATAACTCTGAACATCCCTTTGTTCTTAAAGATTGGTACTAATATACTCTGTCTTCATTCTTCTGGCATCTTGTTTGCCTGAAAAATGAGGTTGAAAAGTTTGGTTAGCCACACTATCGCTATGTCCTCGGGGCCTTTCCACCCCCTCAATGGGGATACAATCAGGGCCCATCGACTTGCCTCTTTTCATCCTTTTTAAAGCCTCATTGACCTCAGACTCTTGGATCCGCCGCATAAAATGCACGTTGGTCTCATCAAAGGAGTCGTCCAGTTTAATGGTAGAACTCTCATTCTCCCCATTGTACAACTTGCCAAAAATAATTTGGGTTTCATCTCCATAAGAGTGACTGGGTTTTTACATTGACTCGCCAAGCCTATGACAACCCTCCTCCTTTACTCGGGCTTGGGACCGGCTATGTTCCCCTCACATGTTCATAATCCTAACACGAGGGTAACGCCGCCGAAGAGGAAAATCTGGTCCGACCAAGGGCTGGCCAGGAATTGAAGACTATGTTTTCAAATTTTGATAACATTTTTTTGGAAGCCAAAGCCTTCCTTTTTGGCGAGTATAACCGATTACATCAACATATTGTACTAGTTCTAAACTACATAGAAGATATCGCATAATATATTATATTCATAAAAAATCAAAATTGTTCAAGTTTCAGAGCACTATTTGCTATACATGATGCTCACTGTAACAAATATAATATTTATTAACATGCTGACATTGCAAACTCAAATGGAAAATTGCAAATTATCATGTCTAAACAATTGAAAATTAACTGTAAACAAGTCTCTAATTTCACTATAATTAAATAGAAAGATAAGTGGTCAAACTAAGTTAGTTAGGAGCTCAAACTCTGCCCCTGTTTATGCTGCAGCGAGAAGAAAACAACAAGAACAAAACCATGCTTGTACTGTGCAGTTATAGGTGAAATCAGTTGGACTAAGAATCGGCATGAAATTAATACATCTATAAGTAGATGAGGGCGTGCAGTTATAGATGAACTCAGTTGACTAACAATTCACACTTCCATACATTCAGACTAAGAATTCAGTTCGACTAAGAATCCCAATTTCAGAAGTCGAAGGATTAATACATCTAGTCAGCAATTATACCTTCACTAGTTCAATCTTTGGTTGTGGCTTTGAAATTGAAGGCTACCCTTCTGCCAACTTTAGGGATCAGAACGGAACGAAGGCAAGGAGCCAGTGATGGATTCGTCACGGTGGTGTGTCGTACGCACGCGCGATAGTCGACCAGGCCAGGCGACGGCAAATAGAACAATCGATGCGTGCGGGGAAGGGATGTGCCGGTTTGTCTCTGCCTCTGATCAATTGTTGGTTTGGGGCGCTAATGGACCAAGTTGGGCTACTGGGCCAAGTCATGCTCGTGGACTCGTGGTGGACGTGTACCAGTTTCGGTTTTCCATATACAAAATAGTATATACTAGTAAACAGCCCGTGTGTTGCACCGGGAGAAAAAAAATGATGTGCTTTGCTGGGAAGCAAATGCCAATTATCATTAATTAGGTTGGCCAGGTAGAGGATAAGTTTGATGATGGCAGAAATGATGGATCAATTAACAATAGGATTCTTTGGGGCGCTAGTTCGAAACTTGTGACATGAATCCTAATCAACTAATCGAGTGGACAACCTTATCTTTAGACTAACATATTGATAACAAAACTATTCTACATGTAGTTCTTATTTTGAGTTACTGACATCAGACAATAAAAATATGGTATACTTCGTCCGACGTCCATGCATGCATACTTCTGTCGCTGACCGTGAAATCCTTGTTGTATAGATGTTCTAACTTACTGTTCTATTACGATATATGTATGATTCTTTATTGTAATTGCATCTTTGCTTAGTCTGTTGCGCCTCAGTTCACAATTAGATGCAATTTGCTTTGTTCTCCTTTTAGATGATTATCATTAAATAAAGTTAACACTATCATACATAGAATTATTAATGTCTTTAAATCATGGTGGTAGGATATAACAACTTCTGTAATTACCTTTGTTCAAGAAAGTAAGCTAGTTCATTAAAGTAGGCTATTTTTGTTTACTATATTCTTTTATTTAAATAATATTTTTGTATTGTGGTATACATATACATAGTTTCAAATAAGTATAACTGATTTAACTAATGACGGCTCATGTGTCGCTAGTGTCCTGTTTTTCGTGGATACAATTTGGGAAGCAGAAAAATGTTACGACATTGCAGATCAGGTTAGCTATTGTACTACTATCAGACAATAAAAGTTTTTTCACACATAACAATAGCTTTATTGAGATCAACTAAAGACTCTATTGTCATGACACGTAAATGTGTGTGTTTTGGCATCGATGATTTTTTTGCACACATATGAACCGTGATCAATCCGTCTATGTATGGTGTTTGTTTCCTTTTCAGTTTTGTCAATATGAGTTCCCGAGGACATAAATAGAGTAAAAAAAATTAGAAGTGTCGGCGATAGTTCATGTCGCTCTGAGCCAACATGAACGCGGCACCGGTGCTCTGGACGGTGTTGAACGTTTCGGACGGGAAGGAACGCGGATGAGGGAGTGGATTTTGGTTGGGACAGGGCAGTCATAATCATGCCCGACAGCGCTTCGGACGCCCGCAATGTCCTTGCGCCGAGTTTTTTCCGTTTTCTCATAAAAAGTAGGTTCAGACCGGGTCGCGAACCGATACAGGCTCATATTGGATGGCAAAACATGCCGGGACCGGCGGTCCAGCCGGTTGCGGGCGCTTTGAGTGTC